CCCCCCCCTCCCCTGCGGCGGCTGCATCCGAGAGAGAGAGAGCGAGAGCGAGAGCGAGAGCGAGAGCGAGAGCGAGAGCGAGAGCGAGAGCGAGAGCGAGCACGAGAGCGGGTGGTGGAGGGCGGCAGCGACTCTCTCCAGCCCCGTGAGCCGACCGGGAGCGGCCCGGGATTTAATTATTGCACCGTCATCGGATGATCGGCTTGCATGGCATGGAGCTCTCCGCTCGGTCCCTCTCGGCCCCGCTCGGCGCTCCGTGGTGGAGCCCTCGGTGCCACGGCGCGGCGTGCCGCGGGCCGGGTCAGGTATCGAGGCCCCCGCATGTCGTACAATAAGGGGGTACTCTATATCGACCGCCCCACCGCCGCCGCGCGGCGGCCCGAGATTAACAGATATCGATGTCTCGAAAGTATATGAGGACGGCGTGAAGGGAGGACGCTCTGCTGTGCCGCAGGCCAGGGCCGAGCAACTACCTCGAGTTGTGTTGTTGCGGGCCTGGAGCAAACGCGCACGCGAGTCCCAAAACCTATCGGAAAGTCTTTGAAATCGAATTAATAAAAGTTTCTCCTTGTGCGTTTTGTTTATTTCAAATTTTCTGTAATACGCCTGCACTTCAGCTGTGGGCGGGGGGAGCGCGGGCGGCCTTGAGCGTGCGGGCGAGTCCTTCCGCGTGGCCGGGCCGCGTCGCTCCTAGCGCGGGCTGCGCGGGCTGCGCGGCTGGGTTTGACTAACGACGCGGCTGGGCCGGGCCGAGAGGTGTTGTGTATCGACTGGACCCACAATGGAGGTACGAGTGTCGTTCGATAGGGCGGGTGGCCCGGCCCAGGCCCGGCCCCCGGCCCGGCGGGCGGGGCGCGGCGGCGCGGCACATCGATGTAATGTAGGTCATGTCGTTGTGTGCCCAGCCCTGGGCCTGGCCCGTGGGCCCGGCAGCGGCAACGGCAGCGGGGGTGGACTGCCTGGGCCGGGCCGCGCCGGGCCGAGCCGAGCCGGGGGGAGGGGGGTCGCTCGCTCGCCCGCCTGCGCCACCTGCTCGGGCCTGGACCGGGTCGGGCTCGCGCGCCACCCCCGGCCCGGGGGAGGGGAGGCCCGGGCAGGGGAGGCCTGGGCGGGGAGAGGCCTGGCCCCGCTCCGCGCCCTCGCTGTGCTCGGCTCTGCACGCCGCACAACAGCTGAGCACAGCGCGCAGGCCACAGGCACCCAGGCCGCAGCCCACAGGCAGCAGGCGAGCCAGCACCTGAGGATGAGGTGAACTCAGGAGGGACCCAGCCCACCGATGGACTCCGAGGACTACCCCTCGCTGCAGGCACCCTCGCCGTACCTGCTGGGCATGGCGTCGCTGCGCCTGCCCGACTCGGAGGAATACCCGTTCGACAGCCGGCGGGAGCCCGTCAACAAGGAGGTGGTCTCGTCGTCGTCCACGCCGGAAGTAGCCATCCGCCACATCTCGAGCGCCCGCCACCGCCACTCGAACCACTTCGACCCCTCGCTGGGGCCGCTCGGGGGCCCCGTCGGCGGTGGCGGCGGCGCGCACGGCCGCGGCATCCTGGACCTGTTTGGCCAGGCCGTCAAGGATGCCGTCAACGTGGCCTCGTCCGCCATGGCCGACCAAAACGACACCGCCGAGGGCCTCGTGCAGGACCTCGGCACATCGACGCGCTTCATCGACACGTTCAAGCGCGGCGACAACCGCACCAGCATCGAGGTGGAGCTCGGCGACGAACTGCTGTACCGCTACTCCTTCACCACGGCGCTCGTCTACTTCATCGCGTACCTGCTCGTGTTCGCCATCGGCCTGGTGGGCAACTGCTTCGTCATCGCGGTCGTGTTCCGCTCCCCCCGCATGCGCACCGTCACCAACTACTTCATCGTGAACCTGGCTGTGGCGGACATCCTCGTCATCGTCTTCTGCCTGCCCGCCACCCTCATGTCGAGCATCTTCGTTCGTGAGTACCCACTTTGTTTATCGTCGTTGTTTTGGTGGCGGTGGTATTTTTAGCAGGTTTTTTGTGGCTCGCGAGCTTGCGAGCCTCGCCCACCCCGCGCCGACCCGCGCAGGTGGGGGTTGGCAGGGGCGGGCCAGCGCGCAGGGAGGGGGCCCGCGGCTGCGCTCGCCACCCTGACGGCCTCCACTCATGACATGTCCCGAGTGTGGCGATGCGGTCTATCACGATCTGGCCTGGCGTGGAGCAGCGGGATTCGTGTTGTTTTTTTCCCTGGCACGTGCTCAATATCGTCTGAGCTCCGGGTGGGGGCGTTGAGGGGCGGGCGTGAAGGGACAGTGCGGGGCAGTGCATGTCCGAACACCGCTGGTCCTCGGGTCAGCCGCATCACGTCTCTCTCTCTTTCTCTCTCTCTCTCTCCCCCCCCCTCTCTC